AATTAACTCGCTTTAGAGTGGGTTTCGTGGTGCTATCCGGAAGTACCTCTATAAGTGTGCGTTTGGCCTATATAGTGTATGAACTAAGGATGATAGTGCGGCTAGTAGCGGAATTATTAGTATCTATTAAGGCGAGCTCTTCGCGGAGACGAGTAAGGGTATTTAGCGTCTGTTTTTTGCGTATAGTATCGCCTATACGGCTAGTAAAACCGTGAAATACCTAGAGGGTAAATATATTACCGAAGTGAGCTTGGATTTCGTTCGCCTATATATCGATTAATAAGGACGGCACTAGGATTAGAGTAGGTCGGAATAGAGCTAGATCGGCCTATGCGATTTGGTATTGAGAGGCCTACTACACGAGAGATAAGGCTATAAGTGTTTTGCCTAAGCCGTATATATCCGCTAGGATACTACCGGCCACTAGACTTGCTTCCTAGTTAAGCATCCACGATATAGCCGTGACTTGCTAAGGCATAAGAGTCGTAGGAGGCACTCTATACGTGTTCGGGGGGGCGATAAAGCTATCACTATTAGAATTAATCGAGATATAGGCATAGGCGAGACTATCCGTGAAGCTTCGTAGGGTAGTAGAGACGGTAAGACTTAAGTATTGTTAATAGACCCACTCGGGTAGATCTAGGATCTATAGGGGGCGATTGTTATAACTAGTCTTTAGCTACCGGTCCCGGTAAGTGTGTTTCTCGGCGTTTTTATTGGCAATTTCGGCTAGTGCTTCGCTCGACAAGATTAGCTTGTTGGCGGAAGGGGTTTTTAGATTAGCAGGGAGGTCCGAATCCCGGGAAGTCTTAGTAGAGGGAGCCTAGTAAAGAATATATTTCTATGCCTATTTCCCCTTGGTAAGAGCTTGAACAAGGCTATCACGGTCAGCGGGGATAAGTGGGGCTCGAGCCAATAAGCTTGTTGTGGGGTAAGCTAATATATAGGCAATACCAGTGAGTAGGGATAGATAAGGGGCGCCGTCGAAGAGGGTCATATCGAGGAGGTCGATATCCGGTGGAAAGGTGTCTTCGGTGTTAATAGGATCTGTTTGAATGCTATTAAGGATAATAGCGTTCTCCACACTTGATACTATAGCCGTAGTAGCTGTAGTGGGAGTCATGCTAGTCTAAAGTTTAGGCACGGCGGATTGCGAAGACTAGGGTACCGTGTTAATATAGTTCTTGTTCTTTTTGATATTGTTTGCAAAGAAAATAAGGGTCTTCTATGTATACAGAACTTTTTTGGCGTCAAACGAGAAGGGGGATTTAGTGACCTAAGATACTTTGAATATATCGGTGTTACGGGTACGCATCAATCGGACTATCCACCAAAGCGTACGAATCTCGAAGAGGGAGGGCCCGTCGACATTGTGTTTTCTAACCGTGGGGCGCTTAGAATCAGCGAGGGCGGGGCTCTATTTTAGGGCATTTTTAAAGGCGTGTCTAATAATAGAGAAGCGGATCTATTTCTGGCTAGCGGGGAGATTTAGATAATCAAAGGAGTTAGCACGATCGGCTACGAATTGGTCGATAATATCGCGAGAGTGTTTGAAATTGGGGTCGAGGCTATAGATTTTGTGGAGAGAGGCTGTAGTAGGGAATCTATAACAACTAGCAAGTTTCGAGGCCGAATTCTCTATAGCGGCGATAAAGTCGGTAGCATAGTTAATATTGCCGACGAGTTTAGAGCGGCGGTTAAAAGCTATAATGATATATAAGGCGGGGAGATATGAGAGGGTGGTTCTAGTATAGCAAACAGCGCTGATATTGGTGGTAGGGATACGGTTATTATAAAGAGAAAACTAGACTATGTTAGCAATGATTCATAAAAGGCCTCAAATTCTGACGGCTGTCAAAAAGCTAGGCTAGGGATATCAAAGGTGGGTAGGAAGGAAAAAGCCTTAAATTCTGACGGCCGTCAAAAAGCTAGGCTAAGGGATATCAAAGGTGGGTGGGAAGGAAAAAGCCTTAAATTCTGACGGACGTCACTTACAGTAGTGAAAAGGGTGGGGAAAATAGAAGAGAAGGTTTGAAAATAGGGAAGATCTAGTATATATACCTTCCTAATCTAGTACTTGTGAGGTTATTAACATCTATAGGCTTGTTTTCTGACGGACGTTAGAAAATAAGGGTACGGGTTGTTAGTCGGTCTATATCTATGGTATAATCTCTATAAGGATACACAAGAATACACGGGTATATAGTATACACAAAGCTAGTTTATTCAAATCGGTTGTATTGTGATATAATAATATCGGAATAAGTGTACTAGATACTTATAAAAGCTTCACTTTCTGATTTAAATTGAAGTTGCTCAGGTGTGGATATCTCTCTTTTAGCCCTTACTTTCTAAGGTAAGTCAGAAAGGGTGGTAAATTAGGATGAAGGAGACGAACATTTATATTAGGTGATATTTAAAATATGCTAAATATGCTAAATAACTATAAACCTATAGTCGGAATATATCAAAAGTAATGAATTCTTGGTGAATGTTAAGACCTCTACCTAACAATAGAGATAAGATAGTTTTTCAGCCGAAATAAACCACGTAAGGTCCCGTGCTTTAAGATATAAGAATTAAGACCCCCTAGCTAGACCTAAAATAGCTAGCGTTCGGTCTACCTCAATATATGGTATATTATATTGCACGTATTATACTAGGCTTCTACGTCGCTTACCTATCCTAAACCTAGAGACTAACTACGTACTTTCACACTTACCTATCGCAAACCTAGAGACTAACTGTATAGTCTCACAAAAACACTACTTTCGTACCCTAAACTTGATATTTAATAAGGAAGACCTACTACTTTAGATTGCAGACTTATTTATAATTTTTCTAAGGGTTTATACTAGGAGAGCATGGTGGTTCAAGGTATGAACTAGAACGGATGTAAAAAATAGTATATTATTTTAATGACCAAGTAGTTTTATGATCACAATTATGCAAAAGCTGGGTCGAGTTAGGTCCAAAATGGGTTTTACTAGGGCCCTAGTATTGGGTCCGGGTTGGGTCTGGGTCAGGGAGGTTCGACCTAGACCCAGACTGGGTTGGGTTCTGGGTCGAGACCTTCGACCCAAATTGGGTCATGCGGAAGTCTACTATTAATAACCTACTAAAGCCTATAAAAGCCTATAAAAGCCTATAGATAGCCTATAAAAACCTATTCCTAGCCTATTCCTAGCTAATAAATCATAAAAATTTTTTATTTAACCCTTAAAGTAAAAGTAGCTAGCAACTTTTAACTAATTTTATCACCTTCTTTTAATATCTATCTCTAATTAAAGAAGAGAATCTTTTAATTTAGAAAATAACGATTTATATAATATAGAATATTTATATATAGAATCTAAATAAGAAAAGTCTCTAGTATATTGTGTTTAGTATAGAAGATACACTTACTTTACTATATATTCAAAATATATTTCTACAGCTTTAGATAGATTAAATCTTACGACTATCTAAACACCACCATAATTAGTGATACTATTAAATTTAATTAGTAATTAACGTATAACAAACTACTTCAAGTTAAATTATATAAATTTTTATCTAAATTTCATTTAATCTAGATATAGAAGTCTTATTAATGAGAGTTAGAACCAGAACGGCGAAAAATAACAGTATTTTATTTTGATGATTTAGCAGCTTTATGAACGCCAAGACCTTGATTTTATGCAAAAATGGGCTTTCATGGGCCCCCAATGGGGGCCCATCGTGGGCTGGGGGTTGGGTCTTGGGCTGGTGGTTAGGGCCCAAGCCCACCGTGGGTTGGGCCATGGGCCGAAGTCCTCGGCCCATTCGTGGGCCCTGATGAAGCCTGGTAGTAGCCTAGCCCGATAAGCGATGATAAACGGGATTTAGCTCAGGAAAATATCTATGAGCACACTAGGGATAAAGGAAATAGCTAGGTAGACACAACAAGTCTGAAGACTCACCTACGAATAGCTTGAGGCAGGATATGGCGGATGTAAGCAAAGAGAACCTATTCCTACTCCTGCCTATCACACGGCTCATCAATTGCGTGCTAACGAGATTTTCAAGCTAGACAACAGTGACATAGCAGGGACAATGGCATATCAGGGGCAATGGTATAGCAGGGTTGGTACTATGATCTGCCAGTGTTATTTAATAGAATGCAACATTCTGCTGTCCTGCAACAGCAGCGCTCGCATTACAAAATCAATTGCCGCTAGTTCGTAATAAGCCACACCTAAGTCAAGGAAAAGAGGGGATATAGCATATACAGCATGCGTTATGTCACAATCCTCAACCGCAGCACGGTCAGTCTTGTTGCAGTTGTGACAGACGTGGTTGCGACAGGCAGCACCTTGCGCTTGATAGGTCTAAGTCTGAGTGATTACTCGTAACTTTTTCGATATTCATCAATATTTTCCATTGCTTTTATTATCGTCTATGTTAGAAATAGCGTTGGTACTATAAAGCAAGAAGTAGACATGCTGCAATTTGAAAAAGAGCCATCTTTTGGTATTTCATTTCTTATCGACTTTGACTTTGTTCTTGGCTTTGGATCCCTTTTCGACTTTAGCTTTCTTCTTGGCTTTGATTTCCTTCTCGGCTTTAATCTTCTCGGTTTCGACTTTCTTCTTAGCTTTGACTTCCTGCTCGGTTCTGGCTTTCTTCTTGACTTTTACTTTCTTATCGGCTTTGCCTCTCTTTTCGGCCGGGTTTGTCCTTGGCGTTTCCTGGATTCGCTTTCTTAGTTTCAATAAAAAAAAACAACTGGGTCATCTAGATGTAGCAGCTTTAATATCCGAAGAAGTCAAATTCAGGACTGTTCATCTGTACCTGAATTAGTACCGATGATGAAGACAATCCGCTTAGGTCAATGGTGGTAACAGGCGGACCTCCTGAACACTTTGAAAAGCTGAACACGAAAAACCCACTCAGGGTAACTAGATGAATCAATATTAGGTCCTTACATACACTATGTGTCTCATAAGACATACACGATTAAGTACTAAAGTATCAATTGTTTATGGCGGTGACGCACCTATATATACAGTCAAAACGCTAGGTTTTCCGGATGATACAGTTCCAGAAGCATTTTCATTACCATCAGGACTGACATCATCGTATGGGAAAGTATAACCCTTTCCGTCAACCTCAAATTGCTTTATAAGACGGCTGTAATGATCGGTGGGACTCACGGTGTAGTAGTGAGAAGAGTCGAGGCTGGGCTGCACATTGCCTCCTGCAAGTAAAAGGGTAGAACGGACAAAAGCAGCACAGAGACGTGGAATTACGGCCACATGAACAGCGTTGTCGCTTGCCAGTCTTTCAAACGGTCCACTGTTGCAGCCCCAAATATCGGCCGCTGTTGGCTTGGCATAGCCACGATTGTCACCATTGCACGTCATTGTAGCGCCCGAAACTTGGCAAATGGCATCGCCTGTTCCGGATTGAGTGTTTATAGTCAACGGGTTTGAGGTATAGTGACTCCATACTTGGTCGACATAGGTATTCCAGTAGCTTTCGAAGGCATTTGATTTAATCTTCCCTGGCGACAGAACTCGAAGTAAAGTGTCAGAGGGGCTGGTAATACAGCTGCTACTCCATGGATAGCCTTCATCGCTAGTTTGATTAACCAAGCCGCTGCAAATATGGCTGACAGCACCGCTGGGAAGACTCCTTGTGATTTGGGTACCAGTCCCATCTGTGACGGACAAGGCCATGCTGAGAATCATGCCCACAAAATCGACATAGCTGATATTTGCAAAGACAGTCAAGTCTGCGGCGTAAGTGAATTCAACGAATCCCCAATTCAAGCCGGCGTTTGGGTCCTGAGGATTGGTTGAGGGCTGGACCAAACCGTCACCAGTGGGTGTCTTGACCATGAAGAAGCTCAGCTCACCTTCAGCAAAATAAATGCGGGCGGAGCTGAGGGCAATTGGCAAGATTATTTCAAACGTACCGCCTGTGCCCGTCAGGGGTACGGCAAGGTTTTGCCTGATTGCAACCGGAGCTCCAGAGCCTCTCGAGCTGGGATAGACCAAGCTGCCATCCCCCAAAACGAAGACAATCTTGTTGTTTGAGTCTAAGCCTTGGATATAGGCATTGACTTGGCCACCGTAGAAGTTGTTGACAAGCCGCAGAGAAAGAGATCCCGGATTGGCTTGAGCGCTCTTTGCGTGCCAGGTCTTCGTAGTAGACGGTCTGTGATAGACCCCGTTTAAGATATTGACCTTGGTAATGACAAGGTCTTCAATGCCGCGTGGGTTCGCCACTGTAAAGCCATTGCCGGGTCCAGCAAGCCTGGGGAGTGCCGTAGCAGCCAAAGCTATGCCTAGCAAGGCGCTAAGCCATGATAATGGCAGCATATTAAGAAGGGTGATTGATAATGTCAAAGAGGGTCAATGGCGTGAACTGTATCACTGAGACCAGGAAAGAGCAGGCGAAGCTCAGCTTAGGCGTCTGTCCGACTGCAGCTGGAGAAAGGGCTTGTGGTGAGTTTTATAGTCCAATGCCCACGTGCCAAGAAACAAAATTCGAAGCCTTTGAAGGACTGTGCACATGAGGGTGGAAGAGTCAATATAAACACATTTGTTTAGGAGTATAACCTTTGGAGTGGCTTGAGGCAAAGCTACTTAATAATTACAAGTGTTACCGTACAATCCAGCTGTTCATAGTATTCAAAAAAGCACCTCTTAATAGCTCATAGGTTGTAAGTTGAAAACAATGATGTAGGTACGCGCATGCTGAGTGTCATATGTCTGCCCATGATCTTCATTAATGAATGTTCGCAAATGCTGAAATTTTGTTCTCAATCCGTAACAGGAAATATTACAATTAGGAATGCGACAGCAGATCGCGAAAACATTCGTAATCCCTGCCGACCCCTAGACATAAGATAGAGCAAATAGGTACCCAATGGGAAGGCTCAATTGACTCCTAGTATTTCATTAATAAAATCAGACTTTAAATCGATTGTGGTAATTGGCCACAATTTCTCGAGAATGCCATGCTACTAGGCTAGGGGCCTGTCTGATGTAACGGTATGACAGAGGGACTTGAGCGGAACATATAAGCACAGAAGGGAATGTGGAATAAAGTAGCGAGTTTTTCTTGGCAGCTTCCTTGCATAAGTCCCGGACAAAGGCAATATCCAGGAACAAATCAGCGGAATCTCGGACCCAGCACGTGCTTTATTTCCTGCCAGATGGATTTTGCAATGTCTGAATAGGTACTATTAGGGCTTTGATTTAATCGGAATCAGAATTCCTGCTTGTTCCTTGAGATCGAGCAATCTTTAGTGGAGAATTGGGAGAGTAATGTTATGGGGAGTATTTGGGCCTCACGACTGCCTAGGTCTGTTTATATCATCATGTTCGTAGCAAGCTTTAATTAACAATCAAGCACGGGAGAAAAAGATCAAAGCATGGACCGGCCCCCACAGCAGCTTATGCGGCTGAATTTAGCCCGTCGGCTTATCGATGCACCTGTCGAGCACACTAATTAAACCCCCTTGCACCTGCCTTTCTTGAGGCAACAGCTGTTGCAGGGATGTCGTTTGGGTTGAGCAAGGAACCGTACGATGCCAACGGACTAGCCAGACTAGCTCTTGCCGACGGCGTTGGCCTATCTATTTTATGTCTCTCTCGATGTTGAGACTCGAAGCACGCTTTGCTTCAATCGCATGGAGTCTGCGCCATGGATTCATACAAATGAAGGCTGATAGAAATAGAAACTATACAGAACCTCAATCTGACTCCTCCTCTATTTTGTTCTGGCCAAGCCATATGCGCCCATGGCCCTCTTTGTCCTTTTTAAATTCCTGCCACAAAGTAGACAAATGGCTGAGGACATTCCCAATAGCCACGTTACCTTTGCTTCGCTTGTTCAAACCCAAGTCATTGAGCCACTTACATTTGTTGAGGGCAAATTACACGAGCGCAATCATGATCTCTACACCAATACAGAATGCCCAAGGTCGAACCACAAATCGACGATATTGGTCCAACCGCTGGCCGTCTCCTTGGGTGTATACTGGTCGAAAGGATCAATGATCATATCCCTGTTTCAAAACCATCCGGATAAGCAGAAACAGGTTGCCAAAACATCCACACCGGCGATGGCAATGACCAGCAGAAGGGACGGCTGGGTTGCGCCGCCCATAGTCACAATTATGAGCCAATTCTCCGTCAAAGCAATTTCGAGGAAAACGATCTCCTGTATAGAACCCCTGTTCTACCACCATCGGGTAAGAACAAAGTTCCGCGAATGACCCATGTCCCCGCGGCCAGCAGAATGCCAAGGACAGCAGAGATGATCCAGATCTTCGGCAACTGCCACTCGACAGGCCTACGCTCGTAAGAAGCGTTGTCACAAGCAACGGCCATAGTGGCAAGGTCAGCAAATAGCGCGAGGGAAACCTCCAACTATGTGCGAAGACTTTCATTTATGACGATCATGGTGGTGACAAGATATTTCTCTAGATGAAGACAGATAGTGATGTGATACTGTATATATGCTTTCATCTGCTGAAAGATTTGGTGAACCACCTGCATAAAATTAGTCATAAGCTCCAAGAAGCAGAAGCAGGGCGTATAGTACCATTCAAAAACGTTGATAGAATCTATAATGGTCGAAAGGCCAGGCTCTAGGAATACTATGTCTGACTCACAGTCTGAGGCAGACTGCTTCCACGGCAATACCACATAGCCTTTTTGAGCGAAGGCGCGTCATTGGCACCATCATCTGCCATAGCCGTGAGATGCCCACATTCTTGCAGCATGTCCACAACTTGATACTTGTGTTCTGGAAAGTCTTCCGCAAAACCATCCGCCTTTTCAACCATTTCGCCAGCCATAGCGCCATTAAGGCCACCGACTAATCGCTTTGAGTTGCAAAACTTTCTTCCCATAGCCAGCATCTTGCAGGTTCCTTTTGAAATAGCGGTTGCATATCCGGTAAGCACCTTAACTGAGATGCCTAGGTCTTGGGCTTCTGCAATCGTTGAAGCGGTGTCTTCGCTTGGTGGATCAAACATTGGCATCGTTCCCAACAGAAACAACTATCTGCCTTCTTTTTGAAAAGCGAGGCCTAAAGGGCGAAACCAACGGTGCGCAAAGTCATTTGCCTTTTCCCTGTAAAGCCTTGCGGTTTCATCCGGGCACTGCGTCAATTGGAGGACTGCTTTTGGTGCCCCTTTGGTGCAAATATACTTCTCTCCATCGAGCGAAACGACTGAAATGATGCGCTTAGAATGAGGTCGAACGGTGTGAAGTTCTCTGTTTTCCACCCTTGCCGAAGTATCTCCTTGGCTTTGGGAAATTGATTCACTGACAAGATAGTCACCACATCAATAGAGTCCTGCGAACGAAACTTATGAGAGGAAGCCAGAGCCGCAACCGCAAACAACCAGTTTGTACCAATACCTTCAGCGAGGTACAGTTCCCGGATGCTTAACTGGTTAGCGGTCAGGGTAACCTGTTCTGTCAGAGCAAAGAATGTCCACGCACTTTTAACGTAAGTAACAGCTCGTATCAGCAGAACCAGAACGTAATGAGAGAACAGACCCGCGTGCTTGTCATAGTATAAGTACTTACAGCGAGAGGCCCGATCACACTTGATGACCACGGCTCAAACAGCCTCAAAGTCACATAGTAAAAGTGTGCTTCATTGCCCCGCCGAATTCGTAATTTATTGCCAAGCCAGGTGGTTACGATCTGTGCAATACGTTTAAAATGCTTACAATTAAAATGGGAGATAAAAGAAAAGAAATGAAGTCCTAGGTATATGGTAATTTGCTCGCCATTTTGGAGATCGTCTTGCAAGAAACCCAACTTTAGTCGGGAAAAGTGGCCTTGATGACATCAATGGGTTTAGAAGTTTACAATTTCACATCCGCGGTCCAGGGCCCGTATCAGAACACGAAGGAGGTAATCTGAAGTACCACTACCTTGTACTTCAGTGCTAACAACGAGCTACCTCGTGGTGCGTTGAGCCAGGATGCAGGAGACGCATGGGCTTGGGCCTGATTTTAGGCTGGCGGTTAAACAGCAAGTCCGGGGTGGATATTTAGATTTTCTCCGTCCCCTCAAACATTGGCGACATTGCCACTGATTATAGGTCAGTATGCGTAATTTGAGGACTTTGTTCGATTCAACGCCAATTTTTAACAACATATAACTTGTTCCGTCTAGGTGGAGCTGATCATCCTTGCTGTTTCCGTAGTCGCCCGCTCTGATCTCATAATTTTCACTGCTTGGGCGAGGATACCCTTTGACAACCATCTGAAAGAGAAAGCATCTCACAGACCTGCCTAGGCTGCATGCCATGAAATGGGATGTGCCGCGGGAAGCAGCTGGACAATCACTAGCCGCCCGCGCAAACAAGGGTGGACGTGCCTGTAGGGGCCCGTGTTGAGTATTGCGGTGGTCAAAGCTTATGGTGGAACTATAAGCTAATTATCGCAGCCAAACATCACAGACCTCCCCAATGAGCTTTTGCTATGGATTGTGTGTATTTGGACTGCATTGCATTATTTGCCCTAGCAGGATCATGCGAAGACTTTGATTTCAGATTGCAGCCTAGCATCTAGAAATACAACATCAAATTTCAGAACAGCAATCTATTGCACCTGGCCGTTAAAGACAACAACGTTGGTCTTGCGGAGGCTTTGCTTTAGCACAACGCCAACATCAATGTATTTTACCGCGGCAAAACTCCTTTTATAGGGGCGCTCAAATACTCGTCCGCTGCTATACGGGACCTCTTGTTCCTTCTAGACCTCGGCAAGGACCGCAAGGGACCGAACCAGACCGCGGTCCGGTCCCTTGCGGTCCTACAAACGGGACAAACATGTAGAACCCCGTGATTTACATAATTTATGAAGAATCTATTGGTATTTTTTAGTATTTTACTGTCATACTTTGTTATATATAGCCTAAACGTATTCTTTCCAGAAATTTTGAGTACTTTTCTAGAAATTACTTATATACATGATTCATGTTGAAAGGATCAATTGTCCTTTATATCTATTAATTATATATAAAATCCGTATTATATCTCAGTCTCTTTGGAATACGCCCTAACGAACGCCTCTAAATGTCAAAATTAGGTAGAGGGATCTTATCATTATCAATAGCCCTTCTCTTCCCTAGCGCTTATAGGCTAGGCTGCTCAATAGATACTTCTATAGAAGTTTCTATTATAAGATCTTCCTCGTTATCGCTAATAGGATCAAACTCTTTATCCTCTTGCTTAGCATTATCCTACTCCTTCTTCGAATGCTTCTCTTAGGTAGAGAGGAACTTATCTACTAGCGCAAGCTACTTAGACTATATATCAAATCTAGTTGTATATATAAACATTATTAGGTCCTAAATAGTCTATGGTCTTAATAAGCCCCGGCGATAGTAGTATATATCCCGAGCAGAGTTAAAAAGTCTCTCTACCCTAGAGCCGCTAGCTAGAGTTATAAGGATATCTTAGGTAAGGCTTGCTAAGATAGAATACTCTGCCTTATAAGCCTTCTAGAAGACTAGGGGTGTTGATTGGATAGTACCTAGAGAGATATAAAATTAGCAAAAACAAAGATTTGATATACAATAGGAGGGAGGGATATTAAACTTACTATTTCTAAGATACCTTATAAGTTCATCTAGAGTAGTCGGTCTTAACTAGACAGAGGTAGTAGGTCTTAGAAGTATATCAATATCAGAGATATCGTTACTTATTGACGAAGAACTTGATATTATCTATGCCTCTGTATAGCGCTTCTAGTAAGGCTAGATATAAGTCTCGAGGGACTCCTTATACCGCGGTACCTAGTGTTTCTCCTATTCTAGTGTTAAGAAGAACTTAAGCTTATTTCGTGGGCCTAAGATAGTCCTAATTGCATAGAGATTATTCGGAACATTATTAGTCTTGCTATAATACTCCGTAAGCTTATCGCGCCTATACTCGAGCGCTAGTTTTATTACTTTCTTCTACCTAACTTTCTTTCGTGCTAGCTACGCCTTTGCCTTATCAATATAGGTAAATAAGGTATTATAGATTCCAAATATATTATAGATAGTTATATTAGTTATAGCTAATAAAGATAAAGTGAACTTAAAGAAGGGATAGGTAATTAATAGTAGATAATTAACCTATCGCTATTTATCCTTATCTATCTTTATATTAGTTAGATTAAATTATGCACAAAATCTATCAAATATAGTCTATAGCTAACGTACGCGTCGAAGCATAAGAAACGTGGAATTCTAGCGTGTTCGGATATCTTATATTAGCATAAGTTTTGGTTCTTTTGTCTAAAGTCTAATAAAGCTCTCGCGGCGCTAGGGGCTTTTATTGATATAGACTACAATTTTACGAACCTAAAGGATATTATATAGTTAGTATTAAATAGAGATATAATAGTAGAAAAAGGACGGGGTAGTATACTTTGTTAAGGGTTTGCACAATCCTTCTATTCTCTTGATAAGCGGTATATCTCTAATCGGCCCACTCTATTTCTTCCCTATTATTCTATAGGTTTATATCTATCTAACCAAGAAGCTCCTTTAGACTAAGCTATATGATATATACAATATATAGTATACGAATGATTAGTATATAACTTAGAAGCTTAAGAGACGAAATAGCCTCTTCGAGAGTAGTTAGTAATATACCGTTATTCGATATATTATCGGTAGTAATCGTAAGCACACGATTAGTAATTTGATACTTCTTAAGTAGCTTAAGTAGGATACTACTAAGATAGGCGCTAGTGTAGGAGCCACGAAGAGGTTTAAAGCCGAGTAAGATCTCACGGTAGTTCCACTAAAGGTCGATAAAGTAGCCTATAACTACTATAAACGCCTAACGAAATAGGGAGGTCTAGTAATCCAATGCTATAGAAAGCTTAGCGCCCTCTAGGAGGGTTTGAAGCAGAGAATCCTAACGTTCCTTGACTATCTCCTAAAGATACCGATAGATAGTCCTAGCACTAGGTATTTTAGGGATAGATAGGGTAGAGGAAGCTATTTCGATAAGGGCGCGAAATTCAGGGTACTTAATAAGCTAGAATAGTAGGCGTAGAGCAACAATAAAGGTGGTTAACCTATCTATCTAAGCTCCCGGTGAAAACCCCTATTTACGGGAGGGAAGATTTGTCTATAGAGAACTATATAAGTTAGTATAAAGTAAGCCTTGTAGATAGTATTTATACCCTATTCGAGATCATCTCTCTGATATCTTGTGTCTTACTCCTTCCCTTTTGATAGGTAGCGGCTTGTGAGAAATGCCTATTTATAGTAGATATTCCCCGGTGCCGGTCTATAGGATAAGCAAGGATATAATCACACTACTTATATATCACCTTAGGGGATCTATCAGAGATTGCAGCAACCTAGTAGAAGTGTTCCCAAGAGCCTACTAGCCGTTTACTATCAAAGATATTCCGTTTTGTTGCACTTCCATACTCGGTTTTTAGCCACCAAGCGACAAAATCCTTGTTAAATATCTCTGTCCAAAAGATATAGTTCTTCTTGCCAAATAGACTAATACGCTCAAGAGTTTATAGAATCGGGATAGGTACTACCGGTCGCGTGAAGGCCACACTAGGAGTAGATATTAGTGTTACGCCTCCGTCTAGGTTAAATAGCTTATTAGATATAAGGAAGGAGAGTGTATCAACTAGGTTGTCTTCAAAGATAGATAAGGGATAATTATCCGAGAATTGGGATGCGTGGCTCTATGATATATTGATAAATAATTAATAGATAGTAGGTAGTGTGGCTTTAGAGTGATGGTCAAGATATACTATTATCTTTTATCTAGGCAAAAGAATCCTAAGGGGTATTTATATTCAAGAAAATAATAGATAGATGATTTTAGATAGAATAAACTAGATTATAGACCGTAATTAGCTAATAAGACCCACTCTACTTAGATCTATGCGGTCTTAGACCGCGGGGACCGTATAAAGACCGTAAGGACCGTATAAGGACCGCAAGGACCGCCAAAAGACTACGAGGACCGTATAGAGACCGTATAAGGACCGCCAATAGACCGCCAAAAGACCACAAGGACCGTATAGAGACCGTATAAGGACCGCTAACAGACCGCCAAAAGACCGCAAGAACCGGTAGAACTTATTAGATCCTACAAATAATCTATATCTAACGCGTATTAATCGGCCTAAATGATAACAGCTATTAGATATCTAGTAGGGATATCAATAGTTTCTAGACAATAGATAGGCTTAACTTCTAACGGCCGTCAGAAATCTAGGCTAGGGATATTAATGGTTATAACTCTTCCTAAGCGTACAAGTGCTCCTATGTAGAAAATATATATATCTTTGCATGATCAGAAGTAAATTCTAAAATATCAACCACAATAGTCCGAAATTGAAAGTTCATTGGTAATTAACTTAATACCAAGCTTCATAAAATCAGATACAAGGTAGTTTCAACTGTTTTATTGATTGTTAGACCTGATTCATTATCAAAATTTGTGTAGATACTAAAACAGTGTTAAATAACAGTAAAAAAGGTGGCTGAATAATCAGTTTATACGGCCAAACAAGGAAGGTCTTGGCATAATTATGAAATTGCGGGGGACCGCATAGGGGACCGCAAAGGACCACGGGGGACCGTAGTGCGGTCCTGACTACTTTGAAAAAAGACCAAAGACCGCATGGTCCGGTCCCGGTCCTCAAAGTTGGGACCGGACCCGGTCCTTGCCGAGGTCTAGAAGGAACAGCTTAGCGTGGAGCTACCGAATGGCGACGTGATCCGGACGAAAGGTTTCGTCCAAACGCCTATACAGATCGGTGGCTGGAAAGGTCGAATAAAGGTGTGGATTCTAGACTTGGAGGACTTCGATTTCGTTCTTGGACGCGACTTCCTAAGAACGAATAATCCGAGGATTGACTGGGTGTCGTCCCGGATGGATCTTATCGATCGCCAACGAGTGATATATAGCGTGTATGACCTTGGCACGCCCTTTAGGGAACTAAAGACGAACGAGGACCCTCGCCTAAACCTGATCCCGGCGAAAAAGGCGAGGCAGACACTTCGAAAGAAAGGGACGGAGGTATTCTTAATGATCGTACGTGAACGAAAGGATCCGACTCTGTCCGACGAAGTGCCGTAACACTCGAACCCTAGAGTGTAGGGAATACTCGAACGGTATCGATCGGTATTTCGGACGAGTTTACTAGAAACGCTTCCGCCTAAGCGTGATACCGAACACTGGGTCGATACGGGCGAGGCGCCTCCTATAAATATTAACGCGTACCCACTATCAATAGAGAAACTAGACGAGCAGACTCGATAGGTCGAGTCGCTACTAAAAAAGGGCTTGATCTAGCCCTCGAGCAGCCCCTAGGGATTCCCGGTAATCTTCGTGAAGAAGCCAAACGATACGTGGCGAATATACATCGACTACCGCGTATTAAATCAGCGAACGGTAAAGAACGGCTACCCCCTCCTACGAATCTAGGATTAGCTAGATATCGTCGGTCGAGCGAAGATTCTTACGAAGATCGACCTCGCGTCCAAACACTGGCAAATCCGGATAGCGGCTGATTTAGTCCAAAAGACAGCGTTTAATACGATCTAGGGAAAGTATAAATGGCTCGCGATACCGTTCGGGCTATGTAATACACTAGCGACCTTTCAAGGGATTATGAACGAGACGCTTCGTCCGCTTTTGGGAAAGAATATAGTTATATACCTCGACGATATTCTCGTCTACTCGGAGACGATCGAGGAACACTACCAGTATCTTGAAAATGTGCTTAGCCTACTTTAGCGAGAACAACTCTACGCGTAGCCCTCGAAGTGCGAGATCGCTGTCGAGCGGCTAGAGTTCTGCGGCCACGTAATTGGGGGAGGGGAGGTTCGACCCGTCCCGGAGAAGGTCGAAGTGATTCGATCGTGGCCGAGACCCCGGAATATACACGAAGTCCGACAGTTTCTCGGACTTGCTACGTATTATCGACGATACGTGCACGGGTTCGCCACGATCGCCGCACCCCTCTATAAGTTGCTTAAGGAAAGCGACGCCGAACTACGGAAGCAACGGTTTCGGCGAATTACGTGGACGGTCGTATACGAAGTAGCGTTCGCTAAGTTAAAGGAGGCCCTCTTAAGCCGACTAGTGTTACGCTAACCCGATCGGCATCGACCTTTCACAATTAAAACGGATATATCGGAATAGGCGCTCGGCTACGTCCTACTACAAGAGGACGAAGAGGGCCGGTTATAGCCTATCGCGTTCGACAGGCGGAAAATAAGTAGCGCTAAACTAAATTACCCTATCCACGAAAAGGAGCTCCTTGCGATTAAGGAAGCCCTTCGATAGTGGGAGCCCTATATCGATAATAGGTGTGAGACGACGATCCTGACTAATTATCACACCCTATAGTACCTTGATACGACGCAAGTGTACTCGAAGCGCCTCGCTCGCTAGATCGAGGAGTTCTAGGAGCATAACTTGAAAATTCGGTATAGGAAGGGCTCTAAAGCGATCGTGCCTAACGCTATTAGTCGCCGACTAGATTTTGTATAGGAGGAATCGGCAGCGAATTCCTAAGTTCGACCGTAGTGGCGTGCCCGGCTAGCAGCGATAAATAAGGTCGGGGGAACGACCGAGGACGACTAGCTAGCGGCCACTAAGCGGTTCTTAGAGTTCGGAACAACGCCGACCGACCCGACCCTTGCTCGTGCAGCCGAGAGGTTCGCGGATAAGCTAACGTTCCGACGAAACCCACTGCCTAAGGGTATAGGAGAACGCTCAGCTACGGTAGAGGCCGAACGTGAGCTAGTATTCGTGAATAATAACGGTTCTTTTACTCCCTACCTCCCACGGGAGGTTCGAGAGGAAACGGTGATACGTTACTACCACGAATTCGGCTACCTCGGGTATATAGGACTGCTTAGCATCCTTAGCCCTCGAGCGTGGTAGCCGAACCGTCGATCGGAAGTGACCGAGATCGTTTAACGCTGCCTAAATTGCTAGGTGTCGTAGGGCTCGAAGGAGAGTCTCGAGCGGGAGACCTCGAGCTATATAGTTAAGAAGGGAATTCGCCCCTTCGAGCGGTAGGGAATCGACCTAATCGGTGCGTTGCCGAAAACACCGAATAGGAATCGATGGATTATTATAGCCATCGATTACGCGACTAGATAGCCGGTCGCTTAGGCGGTGCCGGACGCGACCGAAGAGGCAATCGGACAATTCTTGTTCGAGGAGATATACGTCCAATATAGGGCATTCGAGGAGCTTATCTCGGATAACAGCCCGAATCTCCTCGTAGGGGCGGTCCGGTACTTTATCGGTCGGTTACGCGCAAAACACCGTACGACGACGCCTTACCACCCTCGAACGAATAGGAAGGTCGAGAACTTTAATGGCCTAATCGGCCGAATACTAACGAAATACCTAATAGGCAAACCCACGCGGCTATAGGACGAATACTTATACTAGGCGCTATTCGCTACGCGCGTCCGCGAGCATTCGGTCACGAAGCAATCCCCATTTTTCCTTATCTACGGAATAACGCCGCGAATCCCAAGTGATTTAGATACGGTCGGACCCGAGCGTGATCGCGACAAACAACTTCGGTCGCTTATATATACGCGATCGAAGGCGAACGAATTGCTCCTTAATCGTGCGATTAATACGAAGCGGATTAAGGACGACCTTGTCACGAAAACGTCGTTCGAGAAAGACGACTAGGTCCTTATCCGGAACGAGAGTAAACAAAAGTTCGAATCACGCTGGTTCGGTCTATATTAGGTGCTAAAAGCACATTCCCTTGGCACGTACGCCCTCGTGGAGCCGAATAGGCGGGTCCTAAAGAATCTGATTAACAGATCACGCCTATTCAGAGCGAAGGTTGACAATCCGACGACGCTATAGACGTCGTTAGCGGCGCGGAAGGCGCTTCGACGGGTTAGACTATCGGTTAGTCGCCCGGAGGAGGTACGAGCGATCGTGGAGCAAGACGAACCTCCGATCCCGACCTACGCCGAGCTATTAACGATTACCCGCGAGGAGTGGGACGCTATCGAGCGCTCAGGAGTGCGCTCGGTGAAGGTAGGAGAGGGCGAGGTTACAAATCACCTACTCGTGAAAGGTCGACGGCGAAAGAAGAAGGATACCCGAGAAGAGACGGCGCCTAACGAAGCGTAGCCTTTGTCGGATAAGTGGGACTCGGAAGCGAACGATTACGAGTCGGACCACAATAATAATGTCGAAGATAATATGACTAGCGACAAGCGGTCTAAAGTGTCATTCGACGGCCTATTCGTAGTTATGGTCTAGGTGACCCGACGAATGCGGCGGAACGGTTGAATCACTAGGGATAGCGCGAAGCTGTCGAAAGAGAACGACTATAGTAGACAAACGGTCCTAGGCGATCGTGGGAGAGCGGAGATACGCCCCCGATTGATAAGGTTGACAAACGGTCCCACAGGAATACCGATCGATGAAGGAGCGAGTGAACGCCCCGATCGAAGACGGTTGCATCACCGGGGATAGCGCGGATAGCTATCGAAATAGAGCGACTATGGTAGACGAAGAGATCCCGTATACGCGAGAGGCGTCGGTTGATAAAGTGGTCCTATAGGAATCCCGATCGATGAAGGAGCGAGCAAACACCCCGATCGAGGAAGCACGGTTGAATCGCTAGGGATAGTAATAACTGTCAAAAGAGAACCGACTATGGTTAACAAAGAAGGGTCCTATAGGACGTTGGTCGATAAGGAATACCGACTAACGGAGCTGAAAGAACGACTAAGACTAAGGAGATACTTTTTCGGCGGAAAAGATCTCTTTTATATATGAAAGCACAGTCGATATCGATCGTGCGTGAACGAGATCGATCGCGCACGAATACGATTGAATCGCCGGGGATAGTAGGAAGCTGTCGAAAGAGAACGACTATAGTCGATAAGAGGGTCCTATAGGTTACGGTCAAACCGATCGTGGGAGAACGAGATCGATCACTCCCGAAGTTGGTTGAAATACCAGGAATAACTACGAAAGAACTTATTCAAAAAGAAGCAGGGCGTTTATTACTATATGCTATGGAAGTGGTAACCAGAACGCCGGCGTTCGTAAACGCCCAAACAAAAACTCTAACGCGCACGGAAAAGATTATTAGCGCTACAAACTATTCGTCCTCAATCATGGTCGCACCCTCTTGTTCGGTATCGGCAGCAGCGACGCTATTAGGATCACTACCACTCGCTCCGCTAGACGCACCCCGCTACTCGGCCTCCGAACGTTCACGCTTAAGAACTTCGGACACAGAAAGACGCACGGCTTAAAGGTTATTAGTCGCGCGGGCGATAATGGCACGCAAGGAAGCGATTGCGTTTAAGTGGTCATTGCTCGAATATAAGAGAACGGCGCCGCTAGAAGCGATAAGGGAAGTGTACGACGCGAATAGGGCCGAAATTGTGGTATTAGCAATTGTATTGTCACGAACGAGGTCGGAGGCGCCACGGGACGAAGAAGGGATAGGAGGAGCCAAGTTCGAACGACGCGGAACCTTGGAGGGCGTCTACTAGCGGCTGTCGCCTTTGGCACGCGAGCGCTTACGAGGAGTGGGCTGTTTCGGCGAATCGGTGCGTAGGGAGCAGGTGTTGCCGCGCGACGCGATATAGTCACAATAACTGCCGTTCGACCATAGGGTCAGAGCCTGGCTTTTTCCGGACGGCACCAAAAAGACGACACATTTCTTAAACCACGCGCTTTTCGTGGTCGAACAATAGGTATAGGGAGGATCTTGAACAGTACCGATACGGTACACTACAGCCGCACGCTGTTGTGAGCCGTTTCGGAGCGATCGTTCGGAGCGGGTCGCTACCCACTCGAGTGGACGAATAGGCGTGAACCGAACGAGAGCAATCTCGTCTAGGGTAGAGAATTCGGAATATAGCGGGTTCAATTCGCTATCGACACTAGAATACTACGCGTGCGGAATATTGTTGAGAACTGCCGAATCCTAGATCATGTCTCGAACGGCAAGTTTCGCCGGCGTAGGTCTAGACCTAGACATTTCCCATGGGACTAAGTCCCATGGGAATTCCCACGGAGGTTTAGTCCCACCAGACCCACTCCCATGGGACTAGATTTTTTTTTAGTTCCACCATGGGAATTCCCATGGGAGTCCCATGGGAGTATAAAAATTTCCCATGCATGCATTAAGATCCCAAAAGAGGTGGATAAATTGCTGAGTTATCCCGATAAAATACCGTCATTTATAGGTGTTTTGGTAAGTATCAGGACTCACCAAGCCCTCCTGACTGTAGATTCATCCTGACTGTAGATTCGTCCAATATAGACATTCGTCACCTGAATTCTAATTAATCACACTTTCTGACTTACCTCAGAAAGTGAGGCTTAAGTCAGATATATCTATATCCAATTAATCCTGATTTAACCCAGAATGTAAGGCTTTTGTGAGCACGTAGTACACCAATTCTGATATCGCCAGCGACTTAAATATCCGCTTTCTCACTATTTTAAACTCTTTCTTCTTTATATTTTTATAGGAGGTCCGCTAAACGGAGAGACTTAGGTCTCTCTAGCCGACCTCTAGAACGATAAGGACCATGCCTTCCGCAAGGTTAAGCTCTATATTGAGTTCTTGCCCTAGATCTTATCGACACGGAGCTTGACCTTGCGGAAGGTGTGGAAGTTGGTTAGGTATGAGAACTAGGGCAAGAACTATCTTACTAACTTCTACGGCCTAGACTTCACTATTATCGTCAAATTCTTATTCAATAGTGAGCCCTTAGTGGCACTATGAATACGCTATTATTAGTATTTTCACTTTCTTTATTTTATACCGCAATAAACCCAAATTTCATGAACCAACTTTATAGACTCTACGTATGTTTGTAGTCTTATTTAGAGACTGTACGTACTATAGATTAATCATTATCCCGTGCCTTGACTTTCTGACTTAAGTCAGAAAGTAAGGCTCTAGATGTCTATAACCTTATAAGTGCCTAATTAGGAAGGTATATATGCCTAGTACCCCCGTTTTCAAACCTTCTCTTCTATTTTCCCCACCACTCTCACCTATATAAGTGACGTATCTCAGAATTTGAGGCTCTTTCTTCCCTCCCTTCTAGACTTGGGTATTCCTAGCCTATCTCTTTGACTTATATCAGAATTTAAGGCTCTTTTATTGATTATTGCTAACGCCACTAGATCACCACTCTAACCTACGCCTACCTCTTTGTTCCCCCGCCATTGTCTACTATCTACTAACTACTTCCCCCTCTTCTCTCTCCACCACCCGCTATTATAGCATCGACTAGGCGATCTAAGCAGATCGGTACTATCAATTACTCCCTAGATTTTATTAGCAGCCTAGAGAGCTTAGCCTCTAAGCTTGTAGGTTATTACGGCTTCCCTTCTACCGCACTATTCCACAAGATCTATTCTACCGACCCTAACTTCTCTCACTCTAGGCGTATTATCGATGGTTTCGCAGCTAATCGTGCTAATATATTCGACTATCCCTATATCACTCCTAGGAACAAATAGGTCCGATTCTCTATCGTGAAGCAAGCGTTTGAAAATGCTATTAAGTGGAGTTCCGCCCTCGCTCACTCTAATCCTCCTTAAATCGGACGCTATAATATAGATGCCTCCTCTATCTTCGAAATTCGCACACTCTAGTGGATCGTGCGCCTTATAAGAACCCGAAACAATGACATATTCAGAGTATCGCAAGTGACTACCGCGCCCTTCTTATTTGATGCAAAAGACGTTCTCTACGCGTAGAAGACTCTTATCTTCTTTGCCAACAATATCAAGAAAAACAAGGACTACATCAATACAGCACCCTAGTCTTCCTAGGCCGTTATACCTAAACTTGTCACCAACATACGTTCAACTACAACCATAGCTACCATAGCAAATTCGTCTAGTGTAGAGAATTCTATTGTGCTTAAAAGCCTTCACAACGATCCCCTTGATACTAAAGATTCGTTGCCACTAGATATCGACCTCCTTGATATATCACTTTTCGATAGCGCTAGGTACCAATCCCTACTTACTAGAATTGCGGATGCACTAGCCCACCCCATAAAAACCTCATTGGTTCGTGGCCCACTTATCCTAGCCGACCGTGACAGCTTAGTCGAGGCTCTTACAGAGGGGCAATAGGCACAGAAATATGTCTTTTACTAGGCTCCGTCTACCAAGATATCATAGGCACCAGACCTCCTAGATAAATTGCAAGCCCTATCTTCCAACTAGCTAATCTCTATAAGCGAAGCACTAGCTAAAATTGCCAATAAAGAGGCTAAGAGGCACGCTTACCGGGACTATCAGCTAAAGGCCACTTATAACAATCGGCCCTTATATATCCCGGACCTACCCGATTAGGTCCAGTAACAACGCTCCAGTATTACCGTCTCTGCTACCCCACCAAGCTTCAATAATAGTCTAGCCCATGCCTATATCGCGACTGATTCTAATAGCAATACTATTATCGACCCCCTAAACACGTATAGAGTGCCTCCCACGACTCTTATACTATAGCAAGCCACAGCTACCTCATAGATACTACACCAAGAAGCAAGTCTAGTGGCCGGTGGAATCATAGCCGATACATACGGTTTAGGAAAAACACTCACAGCTCTATCGCTCATATAGCACGCCTCCCAATACCAAACGGTACCCACCAATTTAGTCACCTTCCGACCTACTCTAATCCTAGTCCCCTCTTCGTTGATCGACATATAGGCGAACGAAATCTAAACTCATTTCGGCGATACGATTACCCTCTAGGTGTTTCACGGTTTTATTACCCGCATAGGCGATATTTCACGGAAACAGTAGACCCTAGATACCCTTACTCGACTCCAAGAGAAGCTTGCCTTGATAAATCCTAATAAACTCGCTACTAGTCGCACTATCGTCCTTAGTTCATACACAATATAGGCTAAACGCACACTTACAGAGATTCTTGCCGATAGTACTACGAAAACTCCCTCGAAGCGTGTCAATCAGGACCACGATAGAGATATTTCGACACTAGACCAAGACTACTAGAATAAAGATAACTTAGACGTTATAGAAGAGGACGACGGCCGGGATCACTAACCAACTAGTTCTCCCCTCACTTCTCCCCTCACATCTCCCCTTAGTTCTCTACCAGGGACTCT